GACTTCTGACAAGCACCTCACCTTGCTTCCTCTTCTTTTAGCCTGCGTGCAGCCTGCTTTGACTGTTTAATTTGCAAGTCCAGTCTGTGTAAGAAGTCTTTGGCTGACAGCTCCTCCGGCTGGGACTGAGACTGAGGGGGTTTGGAGTCCCCATGGGACAGGGAACGGGGTGGCGAGGGTCCCTCAACATCCTGTGATATAACACAGGGTGTATCTGCTTCCTGGCACACTGCTTCACCATCTCCATCAGGAGATTCCAGAGACAGTCCGTTAAATATGGAGTGCTTCTCCGACACCACAGGGATGTTGAGGCTGTTCCTCAAGAAGATGCAGTCATTGCTGAACAGCTTATTGGCTCTCTTGATTTGCTCCATCTGCCACACAGGAAGATGGCACAAAGGATGGTGTTAATATTTGCGTTTCTGTAACTTTTCTGTATCTTTTTTGCTTTGATCCTGCGGATCATAACTGAACACAAACACTGTTAGGTGTGTTAGCAGCTGAGCCCACTCAACTGTCTCTAAATTGAGATTGAGCATCTTATTAAATATTCAGTTTACATCTTACATTTTACAAAGATGTAACTAAACCAATATTTCATTAGAATTTGTTCAGACTGTTTTTAGTAGCTGTGTTAGGGTGGGATCTCCATCATATCAGCAGTGGATGACTCATGGCAGGCCACAATATATTCAAAGTAAAAGCAGTACAAAGTGGAAGGTATTATATTTTCTCTAACAACATATATCACAAGAATATAGATAACGGTCTGCACTGTATATAATACTGTATACACTGATAATACTGTATCCTGTACAAACAACATCTTGCTCATCTGTCAGCCCTGGAAAGGGGATACCTCTTCTGTTGCTCTTCCTGAGGTTTCTTCAATTGTTGTTCACTGTAATACAGTTTTGGGGAAGTTTTTTTTCTTACCCAAATGAAGTGTCTATGCTATACAGACTATAAAGTCCCTTGAGGAGAAGTAATACAAGCTAGATAAATGGTCTGGACTGTGTTGACTTTGAAACACAGGATGATACAGGATGTTACTGTAAATTCTGAGCCTTCTATAGGGAAAGGCTATTTTCACCATCCCACACTTTTATTTTCAGACTAAGCATCTTACTGCATTTGCAAGGTCTCCCAACTATCATCACCTCTAGTGTAGGCACATTAAAGTCAAATGAAGTGAGCCCCTGTTCCTACTAGCGGAAGTAAAACCAAAAACAGTTGCAACATTACTATAATACTGACTTGTTCATAGGCTTTGATGACACAAAGTGGGGCTCAAGTTTATACTGGCCCATTAAATGAAATAAAGAGAAGTCAAGCCATGGAGTGTTGACAGATCAGTGACCGCAGACTAACTTTAGAAAACTGGTGTGATATTACTGACTTCTTACACCATCGGTTCCTCTTGTCAAGGTGAACATCACTGCAGTGGTTGTGTAGCAGCCTTACCGTAACACCGTACTTGAGAGCAATCCCCTGCAGGGTATCGCTGTCTGTAACACGATGCTCTATGTATTTCTCCCCCAGAGAGGCCGTGACGCTGGCGGTGCTTCCGTACGAGCGGATCTTGGTCCGGGCTAGGCTCTGGGACAGTTCGCTCTCTGACTCAGAACCAGACCTGGACCGAGGGAAGATGGGCTGGCCTCGTCCTCCATCCCGCAACGCCAGAACGGGCGAGAACTCCGCCATGTTTCTCTTGAATAAATAAGAAAAGCGACTGCCTTTGTTTGTTGTAACGCTCCAACTGAGTCGCTACAATGAAGCAAATCACTGATTTAGTTGGCAGGGAGATTCCCAGCCAGTCATTCCTTGGGGAGCACAGACATGTTTCAGGCACCACTACCTCATACCTCGTTTTGTCATAATATAGGTTACGATGACGCAAAACGTACAGAACGTCCGGTTCAGGAAGAACAACCCAGTTTCCGGCTACACTTTCAAAATAATTCATAATTCCATTGACTATGGTAATGAACACCGGTCGAAATATTTTAAGGGCTAAATGGCTATGAAGTACAACTATATGAAATAAACGGGAGTAAACTCACTTTTACATGTTCAACCGAAGCAATTGAACAATAATAGCATATATGACATTACAAAACATACTCAAACCAACAATGCACCAACATTCATAAACACACAACAGCTTTCAAAACTCATTGTAACACAACTCAAAAACACAACAAACAACTAACTACATTCTTAAACACATATTACACAACCTACCCGATAAAAACACAAACAACAATAAGAAATTAATTTAAAAACAATTAAGCAATTTTAACAATTAGTTAGATTGCAATGAACAACAACTTAATTATTTGTAATTGATGATATAGTTCACAAAATATTTTAAACTGACCTCCTGTTCCTGTATGTGACCTTTCACTTATCTTTGGAGGGAGGATCAAGGAATATTCCATGCCCTGGCCAGAAAACATCTGGGGTGTGATAGCTGCCTTCACCATTTGGTTATATTAATTGATAGTGCCCTTCATTCTGTCCTCATTCCACTTGTACTTCTTTTTCTGTAGATTTTGTAACTGTTTTTCCACTCTCCCTTGCACTTTCTCCCTCAGTTTGGCTGCCTGTTTCCTGGGTGCCATTCTATTGTGCAATCATCAATCAATCAAATTTTATTTGTATAGTGCCAAATCACAACAAAAGTCATCTTGGGACATTTTACAAAGTAAGGTCTAGACCTTACTGTTATCAATATTATTACATAGGGAAAACCCAACAAATCCCCCTTGAGCAAGCACTTGGCGACAGTGGGGAGGAAAAACTCCCTTTAACCAAAGAAACCTCCAACAGGCCCCGGCTCTTGGTGGGCGGCCTTCTGCCTCGACCGGTTGGTGTGAGTGGATAGAGGAGAGACAAAAGAAGAAAAGCAACAAGACACAACAATGTAATGGTGGCATATAGAAGCATAGGGAGAGAGAGGAGAGGAGAGGAGAGCAGAGCAGGAGGGGAGGGGAGGGGAAAGAAACTCAGAGCATCATGGGGCCCCCCAGCAGCCTAGGCCTATAGCAGCATAACTAAGGGAAGGCTCAGGGTCACCTGATCCAGCCCTAACTATAAGCTTTATCAAACAGGAACGTCTTAAGTCTAATCTTAAAGGTAGAGAGGGTGTCCGCCTCCCGAACTGAGACTGGGAGTTCGTTCCATAGTAGAGGAGCTTGATAGCTAAAGGCTCTGCCTCCCATTCTTCTTCTGTGGACTCTAGGAACCACAAGTAAACCTGCACTCTGAGCGCAAAGTGCTCTGTTAGGATGATAAGGCTCTACGAGGTCTTTAAGATACGATGGAGCCTTATTAAGGCGTCATTAAGGGCTTTGTATGTTAGGAGAAGGATTTTAAATTCTATTCTGAATTTTACAGGGAGCCAGTGTAGAGAAGCTAATATGGGAGAGATATGATCTCTCTTGCTAGTTCCTGTCAGTACTCTGGCTGCAGCATTTTGGATTAACTGGAGGCTTTTTAGGGAATTATTGGGACATCCTGATAGTAAAGAGTTACAGTAGTCCAGCCTGGAAGTAACAAATGCATGGACCAGTTTTTCAGCATCACTTTGAGACAGGATGCTCCTGATTTTTGCAATATTGCACAGGTGAAAAATTGCAGTTCTAGAGACTTGGTTTATGTGTGATTTAAAGGACATATCCTGGTCAAAAATGACTCCATGGTTCTATGACTCATGGAACTAAACTAAACCGGGCCAGGCTCTGGGATAGTTCGCTCTCTGACTCAGAACCAGAGGACCATGACCAAACTAAACCGGTCTAAACTAACTATATAATTAGACAGCAGATTTCTAAGGTTTTAAGGCCCAAGCACAATGACTTCAGTTTTGTCAGAGTTTAGAAGTAAGATTCCTCATTAACATGAACAAAGCTAAGATTTGAACCAACTTAGCGCAGTTCCTTTAATCCCAATAACATGTTCAAGTCTCTGCAGTAAGATGCTGTGATCAATGGGGTCAAAAGCAGCACTGAGATCTAAGAGGACAAGTATGGAGGCAAGTCCTTTATCTGAGGCTAGGAGAAGATCATTGGTGACTTTCACCAGTGTGGTTTAAATAATTTTCATTTCAAAAGTTATACTGCTTACAAGATACCTCCTATATCACTGAAAGACCATTCTTATGCAATGCAGGCTGGCTTCATGTCTTGGTTTCCTGACTAGTTGTGATGTCACAAATCATGCTGGCATATACACTTCTTAAACTCAGATTTTAGGTGAGCACAGAAACCTTCCACTTTCAGCAAAAGTCTTCTAGTGTCAAACACTGAACATACATTTTTCAGCACAATGATGCTCTAACATGCATGAAAGTAACACCAAAATACATTTGCAAGGAGGGGGCTTTAAAACTTAAACTGTCAACAGCCTAATTTATTAACCTGTCATTTCAGAGAAACTAGATATTTACACATTTGTAGATTAGAGCCAAGTTAAAAAATCTTTAAGAGCTTCATTGTTTTATGATACACTGTGCTCACAGGGTATATTTTTCTAAATAAAATTGTATTTAGCTTAGTATGCATTGATCTGGTAAAACAGCAGTAAAATAGTCTCTTATTAGATGGCTAGAATGACAGGTCCAAGACTGAGCTGGTGATCAGTTAATTCACTTTCCTTGTGTAATGAATTCAGACTAGAGAGATCTTCTCACACTGGGCAGAGACATTTGGCAGGTCTCTGTGGCCAATAACCAGTGCATGTGACTTCTGGAGCTAGTGCTGTTAAATGATGGCGCCTGTCAGAGCACCAGCCTAATAGTCCCATGACCAACCACGCAGGAAAATAACATGGTTTTGATTGTCACCTCATTGTAAAAGCCATAAAAATACATAGCCTAAGGGATTTTCCCAAGCTGGGAAGTAGGCGTCATACAATATTACAATCTACCAAAAGAGGAACTGCTCGTTAACTAAACAGAATTTTTCTGGGTTGACCATAATTGCATCATAACAATAACACCAGCAAAACATTCACCTTTATTTTTAGAATGTGAGGGGAGAATGAAAGTGAGATAATGTAGTTACACAGTAGAAAGACCCAAACCAAAAAAATCATTTTTTAAAAATAAATATATAAAAATTACTTGAATTTATTTACACTTCGTCAACAGTGGGAGTAAGGGATTTGATTTAATTCTTTGGATGATGTCTGTTTCAGTGTATATTTGTAATTATAATCTGTGAATGATTACTTGTATTTGTCTTCTTGCACCAGTACAACATCAGTTTTCATTGTTCATTATTGTTGACAGCTATCAAGCTGCAGCCTTGTGTGTAAGTCCCGAGAGGACACTGAACTGAGGAGCAAAGGGCAGTTAATCATTGTAGAATGGCAAATGAAAGACCATAAATAAACAAGATCAATCCCAGTTAACCAAACTGTGTGATAGCCAATCTGTGACCTGGTGAAGGACAGACCTCCTCATTATGTATTCATTACTGGATGTTCGTGTCATCTGTGCACTTGGTGTAGTTCATGATTATTCAGAATCCAACTGCAATTCTCTGAAGTTGTTTGTCTTTTTTTACTAACTGTGTTGGGACAAGACAGCCACAGGAAAACTTACTTGAACAAATAAAGTGCTGACAGTGGGAAGCAATTGTGACACAAATGTTATTAAAATACTAAGTAATTTTAGTGTTGGTGAAAAGGGGGTAATAATTAAATTCAATTTGGGAACACAAAGACTACAGTTGCTACATTGGGATACACAGATTGTACATCCATGAAATTTTATTTGCCAGGAAAAATACCGGGAAGCAACAAGTGATCACTGAATGAATAATTTATTCAATTACCCTCTCTTGATTATATACAGTGGTGTTAATCTCACTGTCTGGCATTTTCTAATGGAAATCAGGTCATTACAGTTATGTAAGAGTACAAAGACAGACCAGGAGGAGGGAGCTCATTAATTATACATGATGTTCTCAATGTGGGATGACACTTTTTAATTGAGCTGCAAATCAGTTCATTATGCATGTTGTATTTGCTTTTTATCTTTGGCCTTGATTTATCCAGTGCACATGGGTACAGGTCTGTTTATAAAAGAAGAAAATAAGAAGCTAAGTAAAGTTAAAGACGTTCTAAAATGATCCAAACTTTGCCCAAAATATTAATTGTTTTTAAAACTTATCTCTACAGTGGTCTGCTCAGTAGTCAAAACGGCAGGACAATGCATTGGCAGACCAGACTACAGTAGGAATCAGATTCATGCGCATCGCCCCACCTTCTCATTCTTTTATGGCAAAAACAAAGGAAACAAAGGCAGGAGGAAAACAGGAAGGAGATGCAATAACCCAGAGGCATCTGTCACACCGTTACCATGACAGCAATCTCCAGCTGTCTTGGAGAGAAGACACTGCAATGAGTGCATTATCACTCTAGCCATCAGTTTAAAAAATTAGTTAAGACACGTCTGACTTTGGCTGCACATCAGGTTTCATGATGTTGTAAGGACTGAAGTGCAATTCCATTTATAATTGTTTGATAAAAATAAACAAGTGAATCAGTGGTGAAATTTTGTCCTATTATACAATCTAGTACAACTACATATTATAGTATATCCAAACATAGTTTAAAAGTTTACATTTGTTAAATCGTGTTGTGTTACATGGCAGTTTATGGATTAAAATAAAATGAAAATCATGCATCTTCAGTACATACGGTTAACAATAGGATAGTGAGGACACCTACAGGATCTTGTTCATTAATGTCTACAACAATGTATCAGTCAGTTTTTCTCTGACCCTTACTGGACATGTTTTGTTACTGCACTTGTGCCAAATGCCAAATATCTTTAACCGCCAGGTGGCACCAGTGAGCCCTGTAACTGGCAGGACTCACTAGCAAAGAGTGAAGTGAAATGTGCTTCTCTTTGGTAATTATGCACTTTAGGAAAAAAGAAACAAAAAACTTCTTTTTTTCATTTGGCATTTAAAATAGTTCTGCATTTAAGAATGCCCGTACAGCTCAGAAGGATAAAGAAAACTGGTTGGTCTGGTTTTATTCTGCTAGACAGACTGATGAACAAGCACAGTGCAAGAAATCCCAGTATGTTACTTTGTAATCTGGATACTGTGCAACAAAATGATACAGGGATTCACTCCCTCATCTAATGGAAAGCAATCACATAGACATCACCTCAGACACAAACAGTTCTTTAAAATGTAAACCTTTTTTTAACAGGTATGCCCACGGAGAGAATTTCAAAAGCCAAGCCATCATCCTATGGCACTGCAAATTAGTTTTGAACAGGAATTGTGTTTACAGTTTCACTTGGCAGAATGAGTTTGAGATTATTAGGCTGAGATAACTTACTATTTTTTAACTCAAAATGTAGGAAAATTACTACCACAGTGCTGCTTTGGCTGCCTTGTAATACAGAAGGCTGTTAGGACAGGATGTACTGTACTTTGTCATTGGGGCTAATCATGCTTTATCATTCCCTGAAGTCAGATTTTAAATATTTCCACATGGTGTCTGATGCAAACTGTCTGCCTTTGCTAATAATCAGATCAAAGACGCACAGTTTCATACATTCAGGCTTGGAAGAATTAAATGAAACACACTGGCAGATGTTGTTTATTTATTCTCAACTGTTTTCAGTTAGGGTGACTGCATATCCCAGTGTTTGGAATGGTCCTGATAACATGTAAACTCTCATTCTGAGGGGCTTCAGCGATGGAAAAATGCTAAAGAATCAATATACAGGTTTTGAATTCAGTGGTGCAGCTATATATTGGTGATTTGTATTTCTTCATCACTTAAAATGAGGACTAATATCCTTTTTGTCATCTGCTTTCCTCTAAAATAAACACATTACCACTGGTACAGTAGCCCACTTTACTCAATGAGTGACTGACTCACACCTTACACCTCAGCTGTTTGTGAAAACTGTACAGTATGACAGTCTTTCCCATTCTCTCCTCTCCCTGGTAATCTGTCAGCCTTTGTTTACATGAGGTCATGATAGAGAATGGTGTGCTTTGTTTGAGGGTGGCAGGCTGACTCACTACAACACTCATTCTGATGAGAAAACCACAGTGGGACTGCAGGTGGACATACTTGTTTAAGAACAAAGAACCTGTGTGCATGGTGGCAAATGGAGAAAAACAAAGAACACACGGGGCAGCATTTGGGACACTTGTGTTCTCAGATAAACGTGTCACATAAGGTTATGAGAATAAATGTAAAGACAAGTTTTCTCTGCTGCCTCTTTGAGTCAGCTCAGTTCACAAGGAAGTTAGTTAGTTCTGGTGCTGGAGTGAGACCAGTTCAGTGATGTTTAATCTGTATCATCATACATGCCTGGACCAGCAGCTGCATTAATATCAAAGCTAACCAGATTGCTCATGCCCAAGTGCTACACAGAATATCAACCGTTTCAGATGCCTTAAAGGCTAATGTTCTAATTATGACAGCGTTTTGTGAACATCTACCTCAAATAAAGACCTAGACTAGTAGCCGTTTCTTCCACATGTGGAAGAGCAGCACTTATTAATCATCCTGCTCTGAGGGAACAACGGTACTGTGTTTACATAAGCACCAAACTGTACATTTTGCTCTCAGTTTCTGGTTCTATGGATGATTCCAAACCTAACAGACATGACATAAACCTGCTGTTCTCGTTCTCTCAATTCTCATACATTGGTGACACTCACCCCTCCGCCCCCATTCACCGCCAGCAGTGCAGAGTTTTCTCTGACAGCAGCTCACCGCAGCACCCTGGCACAGGAAACCCCGCGAGGGACGGAGTCATATACATTACATAATCTCTTAGGCATGTGCAAACTGTCAAAAACTGGCTCTGATTAAGGGGTGCATACTGTATGTATTGCACACCAACTAACTTACAGTATCTCCCAAACAATAAAGGCCATCTATCAGTTGATAAAATAATGCTAAAGCTTGAGATTTGGCTGCAAACAACTTTTAAATCTGCACTTTATTACATAGTTACAGAGTGATGCTTTTCTTTTTTTTTGTTTTTTATTTAAACCTATGCCAGCAGGATGGCTCTAGGGATGAGCGTTAGGCTGTCTACCAGTGGGTTGTCAGCCATTTTGGGTCTAGACAGAAATATTTCAGTGTCTGCTACAGACATTCATGATTCTCAAAGGATTCATTCTGCCGACTTTCCCCATCAGGTTAACAAGTTCCATTTCAAGTGATATCTCTCAACAAATACTGGATGGGCTGCCAATGAAAGTTTGTACAGTAATGGTTCCCAGAGGGTGAAGCCTGCAGAATCTAGCAGCCCTCTGCCTTTTCCTCTTTGCCATCATCAGCAAGAAGCTTTAATAATAATGACAATTCATAACAGTGTCAAATGAATATTCTTAAAATATCTAGAATGTATTTTAAGTTTGAAAGTTTCATTATTGACTCAACTTGGGGAAAAGGCTGTTTTGAAAAAATACTCTGGAGCTTTGGGCCATTTGGTAACTTTCATCAGCAGATGCAGTTCACTCCTTTGTCAACAACTGAAGAAACTCAATCTGCTGATGGCATCGTAGATGGCATCATTTTCTAAATGTGGCCCTAGAGCCGAGAATTATTTTTATCTAAACGATCTGGAATTAAGTTTCCAGACACTAGCAGCTAATAAAGGAAATTTAAGGCAAAACTAGGTCAGTAACCACTAGCTCATTAATTGTAATGATTCATAAAAAAGGCATGTAGAGTGTAAAGTATGTAAAAACATTTATTGTTCAATATATTCACCAGTGCGTTTTACCAGTCCTGTGGTGTAATAATAGCATGTATTCCTTATGTTGAGTCTACACCTGGGTTTTGATTTAAGGTACAAAAAAAAAAAGTGTGCACTTTGATTTTGAGATGGCCTTTTACAGTTAATATACATACAGTATTATGAACTACATTAAAAACAAAAAAAAAAAAAAAAAAAAAAAAGCAGTTTCCACTGATGCTTCACCAACAAAGCAATGTCATGTAAAAACAAAGAGTGAAGAAGAAATATTGGCATAACCATGGAAGAAGTAAAACCCAAAGTACTGAACTTTTCTAGGAATGTTAGGAGGTTAAGATGAAAGAACATTTTTGGTTGACAGAAACACAACGTTCTTAAGTGGTAACTTAATATTGTTCCTATTACACATATACAGTATATACAAGTTTCAAGTAACTACATGTTAGTCCTGTTATTCCCATCTCAAGCAGGCTAGTGTGCCTAAGGAAGTTCGGTTTGAAGCGCACACAGCATCTTGTCTCATGAATGACACGCTACTGCCGAGATGCTGAAAGTGAAAGTGTCTGTGTGAGGGAGAAGGAAAAATCAAATTTAAGATGTATACACAACTTTCTATCAGATTTAGTCCACAAAACATTTCATAAGCAGTTGCAACCTGAGAAGTTTCACACAAAGCTTTTGCCAACTCTCACATCTCACTGAACTACTTGCTGAACATTTTGCTATAAATGGCCCATAAAACGCAAAACACCACATGTAACGGGCTGTGATCTAAAAAAAAAAATAAAAAAAAAGTCTAGCTCATTGTAGTTAATCCAGACTCCCCTCCCAGATCTGTACTATGAGGAAGTGACTGTAGCTGACAAAGCCAAAAACCTGATCCAAGAATTACATCCAATATTGATACTTTAAGCACTGCATGTGTTAGTCTTTGGCATGGTTACGCTTCCAAGAAACCCAGCATGTTGAGTATTTACATCATTATGTGTAAGAGCAGGTCAAAGTCTCATCAGTGTAGGCTGGGTTTAATCAGTTCCTTTCACTGCCAGTTTTAATTCAAAATATCAAAAATGTAATGTTTTATGTTGAGAAATAAGCAATTAGAACAACCAACATCAAGATCTGAACCATATCAAAACAAGAATTGCAGCTAGAATAAGACAGCAACGCAATATAAAACTTTATGCACCGACACTTATCAGTATACACTTTATATAAGGAGGTGAACCATCAGCTTGGACATCAAGTTAAGAAAAGATGCTTAGGATGACCAGCGTCTAGTACTTACTAAGAAACATCTTGTGCACAGACACAAACCGTTACACACACCAGCCCTACAGTCACGCTAGTTTTAAAAGGCAACCGCGATAAACACCTGCAAACCACTTGGCTCATGAAATGTATATCAGTGATCTGCGCAGTGACATTAAAGCCAAGAACTTTTAATGCACCATGATGCAATCAGACAGGAGCTGCAGGCTAGTACTCATGGCTAAGCTATTCTGTAGAGATTGCCAATAAGTTGAGCTCAAACAGATCGGCTTGATTTTGCATTACATCATTCTATGAGCCTGAAGTCTACGCAGCTGCAAGCACCAACTTCAGAGCCATCCCCACCGTTCGAATGATAAATCATGCTGCTTCAATACTGGAGTTGCACTGGAAGAATGGGCTTAATACAGGGTTTTCTCAATGTTAGTTACCGTTTCTACAGTGCTGCTGTTGTTTCTGTTACCAGCTAATGTTCATGTGATTATAGCACAGTATAAAAAGGAAAAAAAGTAAAAAGTCTGGACAGATCATATAAAAAGGCTCAAAAGAGGTACAGCAGAAATGAAATGGCTAAGAACTAATCAGATTTGCACCTTCAATAAAAACATAAACAAAAGTATGAACACAGGTATGGGAGAGGACAATTCCAGTTATTTCCCTTCTCAGATGTATGTTCTGGTTGAGCATGCCTTGCCCCAAAGTTTGGCACAAGACTAAAGTTTCCACACAGTGAAATGAGACCAGGGCATTGGCTAAAATTTTTCCACAAGGTGAGATGAAACAAGATTGCTGGGAGACAGGTTGGGCTCTGTCCCTACAGGTCCCCTTCCACTCGCTTCCTGCGAACTGGAGAGAAAAAGCAGAATGAGAAAGATGGAAAAAAAAAAAAAAAAAAAAAAAGCCACAAGCATGCAAGCAAAAACATACTACACAGCAATTGATGGCCACAGGCTTGTTAGTTTATCATAAAAACATTAAGTGAGTCATCATGAGCTATGCGGGCAAAGTTTACACATACTTCAACAGCGTGTTAGAGTGTACAGAAAACAAGAAGTGAGATTTCATCACTGTCACGCTGTGTCAATCTTCATACTGTTAATGCAGCAAATGCTCCAAACAAACGCTGTGAAAGGAAATCACTGTTATCACTGATGCTAGGAGACACTTTGAGCCACACCCATGCATCAGACCTGTGCTCCCATGGCTCTGACGGGAGGAGGAGCTACAACAGAGCAGAGGTTGTCACTGTGGACTGATGTCATATGGAAAGCTTTAAAGCAAAGTAGACTGCTGGGATATTTTCGCCGAGTACGTCAGTACCGTTTGTCATGATGCACTCTCAAGTGATACCAGATGGATAGCAAAAAGTCACACAGCTTTTAAACACATCTCAAATTGCCCTGTCAATCATACCCAGGTCATTGTTCTTGGTGATGGCTGCAGCAGCTCTGGAGCGAGGTCCTTGTTGGGTGAAGCGGTAGCCAAACTTCACTATGCTGTTGTTCTCTTCCAACATTTTAGCTATTTCCATCTCTATGGTAGTACCCAACTGCTGCCTCTGAAGTACACAGAAACAGAGGTCATATTCTGTACATCAGAGATAGAACTTCTGATTTATATATTAGAAAACTAGACTACACAACCCAGACCATATGGTTTAAGATATTTTCCATTAATGGAATCTCAGCTGGTCTCTTGGCATTTTCTTCAACTGCAGACCACAGTACTTTTTCTACTGCTTGTGGCTGCAGACTTTAAAGAACAACAGCAAAAGAACAAACAGAAAAAGGAGGAGGACTGTTTCCCCCCTTTGATGTGTTGGTGCACGCATGTGGGTGTCAAAGCATCTCATACCTGGTTGTCTATCTTGATCTCTGTAAGGGTGTCATTGTCTCGTAATGCATCAACCAAAGCCTGCACCCCTGCCCCAGTGATAAAGTTGGACTCCAAGTTCAAACTTTGCAGCGTCTTGTTCTCACGCAGCATGTCGCTGAACGCCTGGGTGAAGGAAGAGGAAATAAACCAAACATATAAATATCTGGTTGCCAACAAAGCCACTTAAAGCCCATAAGCCACTCCCTCTCACCACAGCAACTGGGTCGTTACTCCGTGTTGCTGCCAGGCTGAACTTCTTGAGGTGTGTGTTCTTCTCCATAGCTTTGGCAAAATCTTTCAGTGTGGGAATTGGAATGTTCTGTAAAACGAAGACATTGAGCCATTGGTCCAGGAATAAACAAACATAAACACACACCCACACACACTCTGAAACCTTGTGGTTTTGTGTACCTTAATGTTGTTAAGGTTGACCTCTGTTAAAGAGCTGTCATTGTTTTTTATCCTCTGCAGTGTTTCTTCTACATTAGTGGGATTGGGAGGCTCGTCAAACACTGGGTTCATCTTCTCCCCTTTGATCACATCTAGGAACAGATGCAGAAAAAAGTCAAGACACTGGTCCTGTGAATTAACAGAGCTAAACCTTGATTGCACTTACTGTTGTAACCCTCTGTAGCTCCTGTCCCATCATAAGTCTGACTACTGGTGGCCAGATTGTGAACACCCAGGATTGCTGTAAACAAAAGCAAACCAGAGGCAGAGTAGCTGTGGTGAGCAATCGACGCATTAGAATGTCTTCCAGGGCTCAAAAAGGGAAAGCAAATCTTGAGATCATATGAGACGAGTGGCATTATTTTACTCAGAGAGTCTTTTTATTCCTCCATCAGCACACACAGTAAAGCAAAGAGCCAAGGGGAAGACAGCCAGAGTGAAAGGAGCTTGTATTTTACTGTCCCAGCAGAGAATGGGAGAAGGCATACAGAAAGTTTCTCACGACTACAACACTGCACGCACAGTGTCCTTTTCAAAGGATTACTCCTACAGCTATGTTCTCAAATGTACTTATTCATTCTTACCTGCCAAATCACATAGTTCTGTATCTGTGGCACTGGACAGGGCTTCCTCTAATTCTGGATCAAGGGTTGTGACTTCAACCTGCTGTGCTTCTATTGGGGTCTGCTTAGGAACAAATGCTTTACCTATGGAGAAAATTGGAAGGGACAGGAAGGATAGGAGAATTTCACTGAAACTCTAAACCCAAGCCAATATAAAAACAGGTAAGCGATACATTAAGTCAACACAGAGAAGAACCAGGACATGCACGCCAGGTGAAGGTTTTTCTGAGATATTACACAACCCCACATTTCTATTAAAAAAAAAAAAAAAACCCTGAGAATTGTGAGTTAATGTGACTTGATACCCTCCTATAGCCATTCATTCCTTTCCTTGTGCCACAGTCATAAGACTGCATGACTGCCAAATGTTGTGTGGGAATGTGTGCACCTACAAGGAAATAAACACACACAGCCTACATCGCAGATAAAACTGTATAATATTATATATGCATGCTATTTTACACCACAGCATTCGCCAACCATCAGTGGGTCAGACTAGCTGAACTCCTGGCAGCCTGACAACTATGGTATTACCATGGTAACACATCTGAGAAAAACGGAAAGAGCGAAGGAAGTCATGGAACAATGACTTGGGCCCAGTCTGAACTGCACTGCTGGGGCAACAAACACATCACAGCATTTGACAGAGAGGCCATGAAGTGAGTGCCATCCGCTGCCTCTCTTTATGCCTCTCTCCTTAAACAAAAACACCCCAATAACAGGCCCTCCCTAATTCCCTCCTTTCAAGTCAGTCAAACCAGTCAAATAGCTAAAACTGGTCCCCAGTGGGGGCTTTGGCACTTCCTGAAACCCACTTAAAAGTAAATAAAGTCTTCCGGCAGCATCTTGTGCCAGTCCCCCAGGAGTGACATTCAAAAGCAAAAAAAAAGCAAGCCCAAGAAAATCAGTCGCAAATTCTTGTTGTCTGTATCATCACATGAGATCATATATCACAGGCTAAGTGAGAAAACACATTAGGGTACAACACTGTACAAACAGCAGCAGCCTTAAGCATATTTTAATGTGATGTAACATGTCATTCATCATTGCTATTTGATGCCAAAACTGAGATCCTCTGGTGTGTACACTACTAGCAGCACTGTAAATGTTCTTTTTAAAACATACCAGTAAGAGACTTAACAGATCACTCCAGTTTAATCCATCTCAGGTTTTTTTTGTGAGTTATGATAACGTGTTGCTGAGTAAGGAGGTTCTGATCAGGTTTTTCTGGTCCATATCCAAGTCCTTTAACATTAAGTATATGCTGATACCAAGTGTGATCTGATAAGCAACATTTAGTGTCAGCTCAAACTGAAAAGCCACTAGCTGAATGAAAGCACCCAAGTTTAACGTTCATTCATAAATAAGCACAAATAAGCAAAACATTTGGCCAAATTGTGAGTTTGTCTGCCACATTAGCAGACGGCAGAAACTACCTTTGTTAGATAATGATAGAAATGAAACAAAAAAGAGGTAAGAAACAAGTTCTAATAAACAACAATAACCCTTTAAAATACATTATTACATTTTGGGCAATAAGCCAATCAGAGCCCAGATACCATATATTATCTTTTGGGGTTTATTTTCATTCAATCATGGTTTTACACAACCAAGGTCAAGGAACGAACATTTGAAGCTGTGCACAACTTTTTTCCAAATATTTTTGTTGTAGCAATCTGCTCTAATACATGTCTTAATGTGGAGAAGTGCTGTTGAAGCCTCCTCTGACCCAGACTCATTGAACAGCACTGGCAACAGTGCAGAAATATTAATTTCTAAAAAGGTTTTCATCAGGATTGACCCCTCTACCTAATCAGAGATTTTCAGTTATTTCTGCTTGATCAATAAGTTTTGTTGCATTCTCATTTACTGTAATTTGACAATGACAAATATCTGAAGAATTGGGCAAATCGTAGTAGAGCACAGTGGAGCAGGGAGAGGGAGCGCTGTGCAGAGCATAGTGGGTTGATTTCGAGTTTCATGCTCGTGCTACCTTAAATTACATACTGTAGCTTTAAGCTCAGCATAATACTGTATTTCTAATTAATATTCAAATGTCCTATGTGCACAGTTTGATTCCATCAAAAGCTGTGGGCTACTGGGACGATATAGTGCCCACATCTTCTGACCACAACAAGGGTTACATTAAATACATTAAATCTTTTGCTTGAATTTAGTGCTGCCAAACTAATGTTACAGTATGTTCACTGCAGAGTGAATCCAGTTTCACTCTCTGCCGTTTGCCATTCTATCGAACTCCACATGTTGATTTGCTTCAACTCCCATCAGACACAAACCAGCACTGTGTTAATTGGGTTTTGGAGCACACCCAGACTGACCACTGGAGCACCCATCACACAGAGCTGTGTTTGTACATTCTCACTAGTGGATCAACCACATCCTCCATCTTGAAAAACATGATGTTTATCAGACTCCAAGGAGTAACAAGGAATTCTGTTGCTCCAAACCATGTGCCCCTTATTAAACACCAACCAAACTCCCTTTTCCACATGTCTAGCCAGAACTTAATGTTAACAAACCTCACAGGAAATCAAGGACAAATACAAGGAAAGATCAATAAAAAATGATAGGTAATAGAAAAGTAATAAAAAAAGGACTGATTTAATATAATCACATTTAAGTGATTAAGAGGTCGCACCGCTTGAGACGGCATTT